GAGACTAATTAGATCCCTATTAAAGTATTAGTCTTAGTTATAATAATGGTTATTATTTCCTATACTTCCTTTCTCTTATATATTAGTAGTCTTTTTATTAGACTTATTATTAGAGCTTTAGTAATAGTTAGTTTATCTACTTACTATATTAATTAGATTTAGACTTAGTACTTAGTGAATTATTTACTTATATATAGTTTCTATTATATTCTTATTATATTAGATATATATAGATAGTATAGGTATTTCCTATAATATATTTATTTTCTTTAGGTCTTTATAGGAGAATACTATTAGACTCCTTTTAATTCATTATAACCCACCCTTAAAGTTCCTCTTTATAGTAAGGTTCTTCTCCTATATTTAAGTCTAGACACTACTTATACTTAATTTTTTCTAAAAGGTGTTTTTTATAGTAACTATATGTATATAATACCTATAAGATTTAGTAGTATAATAAATATATTATAATAGTTTCTAGATATTCTAGATCCTCTAGAATGTTATTAGGCTATTCTTAATCCATCTAGATTACTTCTTATAGTATTTCTAGGTTAATAATTTTATAGTCTTTAATTAATATAATTTTCTACTATCCGTTCTTCTAGAGTGTAAAATAGTTCTTTAACTTAGTATATCCTATTTCCTTAGAGTACGTCCTAATAAAGGATACTATAGGGGGTTCTATTAGATTTTCTTTATTATAGAGTCCCTCTTCTTCATCTAGTAGTAATTAGGTTCTAAAGTCCTAATCTTCACCTAAGTATATATTATAATCTACCTAATAGTTAGTATCTAAGAAGTATTCTTTATTATTAACTATACTAATATTATAAGTTAGTAGGTTACTATAGTTTATTATATTTAATCTATAATTTTCTTAAACTAGCTTCTATTACTTCTTAAGTGCTTTATACTTATTTATAAAGTGTCCTAACTTCTTATAATTATAATAAGTTTTACTTTTTACCTTAGAAGTGTTTTAGTATACTATATTAAGTTCTATAGGGCCTAAATAGGTTCTATAGGCTATAGATCCTCTAACGCGTTAGCCACTATTTAGCTAGTAATATAGTAGTAGGTTATTCTATTTTCTAGTCCCTTATCCTCTATATTTAAGTCGTCTAGTATAGAGTTAGTTATTAACCTTAATAATCTTACTAGTAAATTCATTAAAGGTATTAGGTTAATTATCCTTTATAATTTTATCCTTTATATCCTCTTATAGAGTATTATAGAGTAGCTCTATTATACTATTATTATTCTATATAAAATAGTTTAAAATATATTTAAATTCCCTTATAAAGTATTAAGTAGATCCAGTCTACTTAAGGGCTTTAAGCTTATATATAGTAGTGTGTATTTTATCTAAGTCTCTAAAGGTAGTTTAGAGTAGTTCCTTAAAGCGTTTATATTCTCTAAAGATTTATATAGTCTTATCTTTAGGTTCTTTATTATTAAGGTAGTCCCTAAGAGTTAGCTCCTACTACTCTATTGCTTTTCCTATAAAGAGGTTTCTAATATAAAGTATCTATACTATAGGGTTAATAATAGTAGTGTTTATATATAAATAGGCTTTTACCTAAGTTAAGAAGTTTTAAATATCTCCTTTAGTTCTATTAAATAAGTTAGGTTTAAGAAACTTAAGTAGAGTAAGGGTTCTATTATTAGTATTCCTTATAGTCTAGATTTAAGTAATAAGTGTATTAATCTACTACCTCATCTACACTATAGTATTATCTAGATTAGTTATTATACTACTAGTAGTGGATATTATAAAGGTTAGCTACTTATAATTTTAAAGGTAACTTACTAAATAGGACTAATTAAAATATAATAGTAGCTTAATCCTAATCTATAGTAAGTCTATTTCTTAAGTAGAGAGTTAGTTTAAGTGTATAAGTGCATATAAGCAGTTATTATAGTATAAGTTATATTAGGAGATGTCTCCTAATAGTAGAGCTATTACTTAGATTAATTAGTAGAGATCTAGACTACTTAACTATAGGAATACCTCCTCCTTAAGTACCTATCTATCTCTCTACTATATTCTTAGGATAGCTGGATTATTTATCTATCTATTAATCATTCTAATTATAGTAATTAATAAGTGATCTATTAATCACTTCGTAGGTCACGTGACCCTATGTCCTATTTGGGATACTGGTGTGTCTGACTTAGCCCGACTCACTCAGCCCCACCTGTGCATCCTGTGCGTTCGTAACACCCCTACAGCGCCTACGAAAGCGCTATAGCCTCTAGCCGAGCCTTACTATAGGGTAACCTACCCTATAACTACCTAGTAGTTATCCTAGCTACCTAGAAGCTCCCTTCTAGCTACCTAGGAACTACTACTCTACTATAGAGTACTACTCTATAATAGGCTTATAGAAGGGACTCTACTATAGCTATTTTTAGCTTTTCTATAGTAGAACCCTACCTATAGCCCTATCTATAGAGTAAATCTACTATAGTAGGATATTACCTTTCTATAAAGGCTCCTTAGCCTTCCTCTAAAGGAAGATAGAGTCTTTACTCCCTTTTAGTGTATTTACCTTCTATAGCCTTAGAGCGTACAGCTTAGCTATAAATATAGTCATAGTTCTAACCCTAGTGGTTAAGATAGAGTATAAAGAAAGTTATAAAGGTACTAAACGCTACTAGAAAATTCACTATAATACAATCCTATAGGCACTAGTAGCTATAATAAAGACTACCCTAGGCTCTACCCTAGAGCTATAGCTACTAGAGCGTATAGGGCCTTAACTAGACCTCTCCACCTACTATAAAGACTCTATACAGTACTATAACCTTTAAATAGTGGCTATTAATAAGCCCTTAGTAGCCACAGACCCCCACAGTACTCTACATAGGCCCGGCTGTCCTCGTAGGTGCCCCTACAGCGCCTATGAAAGCACTATGGCCTCTAGGTAAGCCCTACTATAGAGTAACCTACCCTATAACTACCTATTAGTTACTCTAGCTACCTAGAAACTCCCTTCTAGCTACCTAAGAACTACTACTCTACTATAGAGTACTACTCTATAATAGGCTTATAGAAGAGACTCTATTATAGCTACCTTTAGCTATTTTATAGTAGAACCCTACTTATAGCCCTATCTATAGGGTAAATCTACTCTAGTAGGATATTACCTTTCTATAAAGGCTCCTTAGCCTTCTTATAAAGGAAGATAGAGTCTTTACTCCTTTTTTAAGCCTTGCTAGGCGCGGCCTTCTTCGCGTTAACGTTGGTCCACTTATTGCACAGGGCGAACGGGATGGTGAGGATGCAGGAAGCAAGCGTGATTAAGAAAACAACCTGGATACCCCATGAGTACGCACGTACAACGCCATCTACATCGGCACCACTGAATATTTGATGCAGTTCGGTGGCACCAGTGCCCGTGACACGGCCGGGATCGACGTTTGGCGCCGTGCTGCGAAGTTTGACCACGACCTGGTTGACAAAGGCGGATTGCCCAGCAGCGAGCATAAGTGTTGCGCCCATGGATCGATAAACTGTGTAGGAGGGATATGATTAGCCAGATGCACGATAGGATCCAGGAAAAAGGACAACTTACAGATAATAATGGCAGTCGTGGGAGCAATGTCTGTAGGCTCCGCAAAAGCCTGGGCGACGACGACCGGTACCTGCAAGGCGAGGCCGTAGCCAAAGCCCGCGAGGATCTGGTAGCCAACCCATTTACCCGTCGATGTGCCAATATCTAGAGTGTAGAGCAGTCCGGCGCCGACCGTCACAAAGACCGACCCGGCCAGCATGTAGGGTGTCGCGTGCGCCCGTCATCGTGATGGCCTTGCCCGATCCAAACGTGGCCACGCTGAACATGATGATGAGGGGGATGCTGCGCACACCAGAGGCAATCGGGCTGACGTTGTCGATGCTCTGAAAGTATATGGGCAGATAGTAGAGGGTGGCAAAGTACGCGCCGGCAAAAAAGAAGCCCCATAGGCCGCTGGCCCAGACGGTGCGCTTGGCCATGATGCGCGGCGTCAGCATGGCGCGTTCGCCCTGCAAGATTTCGACGGCAGTGAGCGCGGCGCAGATGGCGACGAAGCTGACGATGAGTCCGATTACGACGCTGGAGTTCCACGCGTTGCTTACACCGGCGTACTGGAGAGGTAGGATGATACAGGCCAGCGCCGCCATGATGAGGACCGTCGCGATCGGGTCCATGTGCAGAAGCTTTTCCTTGAGGGTGGCCTCGTGGACAATGGCGGTTTTCGGGGTCTTGAAGGTGAGTATAATGACAGCAGCGGCGACTGCACCGATAGGAAGGTTAATGTAGAAGCACCTAATTTGTCTCATGTTAGTTAATTCTTGCTACATTAGGAGTCCTAAAGAAACAGCAGAATGCCACTGACCATCTCCAGGTTGCTGCCTTTGTAACTGCACCACCAATAAGCGGTCCGCAGACAGCGGCCACGCCGTACGAGACACCAATGACACCCGTGTAAGTGGCTCTCTTGTCGGGCGGCGCCGAAAAAGCCGAGATGGTGTAGACACCCGGCGCAATGCCCGACGCGCCGATGCCCGAGATGGCGCGGCCGACAATCAGGGTCGTCGAGTTCTGGGCGACGGCGGCGATGAGGCTACCAATCTCAAAGACGAAGATGGCGACGAGGAAGCTGGTCTTGAGGGGGAAGTACTTAAAGACCTTGCCCCAGGTGGACTGGAACGCGCCGAGGGTCATGAAGTAGGCCGAGCCGTACCAAGAGATGTCTTCGAGGCTATGGAACTGGTCGGTGATTCTGGGAATGGCAGTTGCGACGATGGTCTGGGATGCTAGAATCAGGGCCTAGTACGTTGTGTATTGCGTTGGAAACGTGGCTAAAACTCACCTGGTCGATCGAACAGAGCGTGATGCTGAGGATGAGCGCAAGGATGATGAAAAGGACCTCGAGGCCATTGGGATATTCCACTACAGGCTTTGGCGCCTCTTCGGGAGCTTTCTCCTCAGAAACAGCAGCTTCCTCTGATGCCATAATGGACGTTTGCTTAGAGCCGAGAGGCTGCTTGATAGGTTGCTTTGAGTCCTCGGCCTCGACCTGAGCCGGCCGCGTTGATGAAGACATGTTAATTTTGTTGTTTTCCTCGCTACAACTCTGGTTGAAGTTTTCCACCTTATTATTGACTCGAGACGCAATAGTGAAGCTTTCGCGATGCGATCTAATTTTGTGTGGACCAAGCCGTTATAAGGCAGACTCAAGCTTCCCTAAAACACGATTTCGGAGATTGTAAAAACACGCGAAAACAACTAGAACGGCTACGTGATGGGGAAGGCACACCTAATCCAGCCCTAGCCTCCGGCAATCGCACTGGAATCCGGCGTAGGACCCTTACCTCCGTTAACTCTAGCGAGCCCCTGGAACAGCAGCACACTGTCCGTAACGCCGAAGGAGGCGGGTCCTCCTTTTGGTGATAAAACTTATAGTATGCTTAATCTGGAGTTTAGGGATTTAATGTCCTCTTTGCCACCTAATCCTGCCATTACTTCCGTTAATTCCAGTAGGCCCCTGGCACAGCAGCACATTGTCCGTAACGCCGACGGAAGGATCTGGAGTTTAGGGATTTAATGTCCTCTTTGCTCAGTTTGGGCAACGGGTATGCGAGCCTGTGTTGACAACTCGCAATCCATGACCGTGTTCATGACAACATGAAGATACAATTAATTATATGGCAAAATGACAGGACCCATAGATTCATGTAAAGTAGTGGCACACTAACCCTAACTCTGCGAACGCTAAGGCTGCTTTTCCACATCTCGCAAGGAGGCGCTAAGTTTAACCCGTCGACGGCAACCCCACGCCCCAGCAGACCTCATCCGATTTCTGCCCACCGGCTGAACTCTCTTCACGCCACATCCGAGTTCGGCATCAGTGGCACGCCACCAAATCCCCTCTACTACGGCAAGGTTAATCTTGACAGCGTCTTCATCCAGTATCACAGCTGCTAAGTAGCGGCCAAGGTACAACAAGCTGGCATTGAACGACTAGACCTAGATAAAAGAAATATATACTTTGGTAAACACGTGTATTGATTAGAAGAGGATGAGATTTCGTAGGTTGTAATTTTACTGATTTTCTTTTCTTTGTAGCTGTACGCCTGTCCACTAACTCGTAGTACACTCTCTAATTCACCGCGAAATGGGACCTTTAGTTTGCTGCCCGAATGAACATGCAAAATAGTAGGAGTACGGTGAGCCTTGCGCGAATCGAGCTTCATGCGAGAGCTTGACGATGCATGCCGCTGCCATCGCGTTCGGGTTTAACCTTCGGAGCTAGCAATTGACAGAGAAACACTTTATGAAATGAGGGCAGCATGCTGCAGATGAAATGCAGAAAATACGACGGCTCTCCACCTTGTTCACAGTATTCAAGTCTGACGACCAGTGTCCGTTTAGCGGTCTATGACTGGCCACGACCCGGCCGCTGTGAAGATGACCAACCTTCGCTCAACCGGTCTTTGCAACAGATTCAACGCTACTTGTCCTAAATCGGTACAGTTTCCTAGACGCAACCATGCGTTTATCCGCACGAGCCTTTGCCTTTGTAGCAACTGGTCGTTAAACAGGCAGAAGCCAAGCATCGACGCAGTCGTCCTGTCCTCAACTAACGCCCATTGTGTTCGCTTTGCAGCCGCAGTGAATCTGCTGCCCTGTGCTCGCGTGCCAAGAGATTGGACTGCAGGCTCCATGCAAGTATATGCCGGCTCAAAAGGAGTTCAGACATGATTTAACGAATCACGCCAATCTATACAGGTAAACATTAAGTGACCCAACGCTACCCTGAACGTCTACCTGATATTGTCGTGGTCTAGGTTTAGGGCCTAATCGTGAGTTGCTAGACTTACTAAACAATCTATAAAGTTAAGGATTAGAATCTATACTTAAGTGTTTTATATAGTCCTTATTTATAAATAAATAAAGGTTTAATTTTTTTCTAAAAGATTATAACCCTAACTAGAGTTATATAATTTTTTAATATATTAATAATAGTATTTTATAAAATATAGTAGATAATCTATCTATTTTAATAAATAAGGATAAAAACTATAGTTTTTTATTTTTTCTTATTCTTTTTTTATTAAAGAAGTAAGAAATTTAGTTATTAGTAAAAGAAGATAGTTTCTAACCTTAATAATAAAGTAATTATAATAGTATTTAGTATCTTAAAAAATAATTTTAATAGTAATTATAAAAATATAATTAATAATATATTTTATATACTTTTATATATAAATTATATTAAGTGAATAATAAAGTTATTATAATAAATACTCTATTAGTATAAGTTTAAATATAAAAGCCTTTAAATACTAATAAAAAAGTATTTTTTAAACTCTTTTAAATACTTTAAATTTAGTATTAAAAAGATACTATTCTTATTATTATAAATAGTTAAATAAATTACTTATATAAAATAAATAAAGAGAGTAAAAAAGGTTCTTTAGTTATATAATTCACTAGCTAAGGTACCTCTCTTAACCAACTTATATATCTAATCCTTATATTTAGTAAGTTTAGCAACTCACGATCAGGCCCTTAGGGCCTACGCCGCCCGGACTAGCACAGCCGGACCATGGGTACCAAATCAAGGTACGCGTATACTGCCAAAAAGGGCAAGACACGGGCTAGAAAACTTACTTTACTTTCTCCTCCCAGCCATCCGATACACTAACAGGTGACGTTAATATGGCGTAGGCATGACAGCCGTTGAGCATCATCGCGAAAGCCTGCGTTCATCTTTAGTCTTAGGCTTCCTCTACATACTTGCAGGCGTCTCTTCCCTGCTAAGGCCTCATTGCAATGCAGCTACTTACGAAGGCACTGGATTTGCATCACTATCGACGCTCTGACCTATGTTATCCGGAATCTTAGTTCCCTTGGGAGACATATTAGCCTGTAGTATAGTGACGTCAAAGGCTTGAACCCACCACTCCGTCGTTGACGCCTTTATGTGCATCGGAAAACAAGTCGTGACATGTTTTTTAGTATATCAACTAGCTGCCGCCGAGTATTTTCTGTTCTCATTTGTAGGCAAGAAGCTCACCGACATTTATCAACATCATCTGTCATGGCACCGACATCAGATCTTTACTTCACAGTGGATGCAGAAGCGACTTCCGACTTTTCATACCCTGAAAACCCCGGACCTGAAAACTTCGAATTGCATACGCACGATGCGCTGACTGCCAGTCATGCTTTGGCTGGAGTAAAACCCCAGCAATCGGACAAGGATATAGCCAGTGTTGGAGTAAAACCTGGCAATAACGAAGTGAGGGACGCAGCAACGTTTCAGCCCCATATCTTGGGCATGTCAAAAGAAGATGTGTGGGTGATAATCCGCCGATTTAACTTCTTAGTCTTTCGCGTCAAAGCCACGAAACACCAGCCAATAAGCGACTTGGATATGGGTTCAATTGAACAAGGGAAGACATCTCCAGAACAACTCCAAGCCCAATTTGCGCGCCTATACATGACAGTTATAATCGGGTTATTCGCTTTCTACAAGCACGTGGCCCGACTACGATCGTGGACTGAGCCACAGAGAACGTCGAAATTTCTATCAGTTTATGTTGCTGCGTGGCTCGTTAATCTACTTTCGCCAACTATCCTTATATTTCTCATGGTAATGTTTGTTTCCCCTGCTTCAAGGCATGCATGCTTCCCCGCTGTACCACCCTCTACTGTTGACGCCACAACTGGTGGAGTGCAGAGGCCTCCTGCAGGTGTCATGGCATCGGATACAAGTATCACAGGTGCGCCAGAGAATTGTAAAGGCGAAGCCATTGAGCAGGAAGCACACAGTTTCATCACTAGTTTTTCTAAGGTAAGTAAAGTATTTAACCACTTTAAGCAAAGCCTATTCACTTACGATTCTCTTCTTAGTTGATTATGCGAATAACATCCGACAATAACGAACCCGAAAGCTCACCCGAGGATGACCCTTCGCCGGGTATAGCCAAACTCTCCGGCAAGATCGCAAATGCTAAGAGCAAGACCGATCAGGATGGAAAAGCTCCAAACAATGATAAAACGGCGGAGCCTATGAAGCATGCGATCGAGGACTTTAACCCACAGCCACTGCTGGACATGTTTTTCGATTTCATCGATACTTGGGAACGATTTGCAAACGCGCTGAACCCTATACCCTTGTTTCCGAGCGATGACTCCAGGCTGTTTCTCGCTGTCTGCCTTGCACTACCAACCTTGTTCACGTTTTGTTTGTCCCGCGATACGATAATAAAAACCATGGAGCTCTTACTAGGTTTCGTCATCTTTGGTAAACCAGTCATTCAACGAAGCTATAACTTCCTCGACCTTAAGTATCCTAGGTGGCGCAGCTACTGCGAACTTCGTCATACAATATTGAAAGGAGCTCCTACCAATGCCCAGCTCGCCATCACTATGCTCCGTGTTAGCGAACGAATCAGTTCGCCACTCCCTCCTCCCCCGGTTGCAAACAGTTCTCCAATAATGGAGCCCATAGCCACTCCTGATAGTGTGCCCCAGCTAGGTAGACACTTTTTAAGTATTTCATCGATTTCATTCCGGCAACTGACCGTCGAAGCCTTCAACGCGCAGGTCCAAGAAGTTATCAAGCCAGATTTCAGCGACAGCAGCCAAGACAGCAACGACGAACACAGATCAAAGCATCTAGAGCGCTTCATGGGATTTATTAAGCATAACTCTAAACGCAGCGTTGATTTATTTCACAAAGCAGACAAAGTGAGAGCTAATTTTGGGGACACTGGTGCGCAAGCGCGGCTTGATCTCGGGCAGACCACGCGTCGGGTACCAGACGCTGGACCATTCAAATTTCCGGCACGTTACAATGGCGCGGCAGGATACCTACATTTAGCCACGGCAGCCACCACTCCGTCTGTGGCCTGGAGAAGTCATGATGAAAACTTAGACACAGCCTGGGCTGTTATGATTAACGATATTGAGGGTATCTCAAAGGTTGATGGGATGAGCTTTAAGACCAAGCATTTTGTACAATGGGCACTGGACAAAGAATCTGTCAACGGCTTGAAACTGACCACATCTAGTGGCGAATGTTATCATCTTGACCCAGCTGTCAAGCGCGATGAGATTTTTAACCGCTTAATAGCGATGGGCAATCAAATATGGGAGGTATGTTAGTGAACACGTGAGGGTGTTCCTCAACCAGCCAGGAGCCCCAAGGCGGTCTTCCATCAGTCAATACAAAACACTTTGTCTATATATTTATTTTTCGCATTTAATACTCCCGTTAGTCTTCATGCATCCGTCTCCTTTTCGTATTTATTCACCTAGTCTTTAGTATTCAGGGCTGGTTAGGTGACTGGCATTTTCAATGTAGAAGGAGCGGAAATGTATACTTGTTCTGGCTTGTTTATTTCTTGATGAATTCGGCTCTTTCTGCGCATCTGCATGTGTATTTTGTGTACTATCTGCTTTCAGATGGCAGGCGTCGCCGTACACTTTACGTTTTATCACCAAAACCATCCCACCACGAAATAACCATAAAAGAAGCCACGAAGCGTGACACGCAAGCTGTCGGCGGTGTACAGGGATTACTATACATGAGATCTGTATCTGATGGTAACATAAGACGCGGTATACTTGACGTTTGTAAAATGGACTACTTAGAAAGCCGTATTTCCATGTATGACTAGAACTCGTAGTAGTTAGATATTCAACGCAAAAGAAGGAGTTTGAAAGCACTGCATGGAAACATCACAGTAAGGCATAACGCCTACTTAGGTAGAGAAAGAAGATAGTATTAATTAGGTTTAATACATTTTTCAAAGTAAATCAAAAAAGGGTAATACAGAAGACTAGTATCGTGAGTTGGCCTAGAAAGCAACTATCCAGAGAATGTTCTCTTTGAGTACTCTACAGGAGAGCAGCAACAGCTACAGCAACAGCGATAATACCGCCTTGGACCTTTGTAGCGGCACCAGTGACGACAGGGACGGGGGAGCCAGTCGTGGAGCCACCACCGTTCTTAGTAATAGGGTTACCAGTGGCGTCGACAAGCAGGGGGCAGCCATCAACAGTCTTGCAGCTCTGACCGTTGGGGTACTGGTGCGCCGGGTTGCACGAGTAGCGGCCCTGAGCGTCATAATCGCCGGGGGCGGCGCAGCTGCCGGTGCCAGTCGGCTGCGGGCTGCCGGTGCCAGTGCCAGTGGTGGTAACTAGCGTGTTGTTGCCTTCACAGAGAACGTAACAGCCGTCAATCTGAACGCAGCTCTGACCGTTAGGGTACTGGTGCGCAGGGTTACAAGAGTAGCGGCCCTTGCTATCACGCTCACCCGGAGCGGCGCAGGCGCCGGTAGGCGCCGGTCCGTCGCAGGTGGTTGAGCTGCCGGTCTGGCCCTTCACAATTGCGTTTCCATTGGCGTCGACAAGCAGGGGGCAGCCGTCAACAGTCTTGCAGCTCTGACCGTTGGGGTACTGGTGCGCCGGGTTGCACGAGTAGCGGCCCTGAGCGTCATAATCGCCGGGGGCGGCGCAGCTGCCGGTGCCAGTCGGCTGCGGGCTGCCGGTGCCAGTGCCAGTGGTGGTAACTAGCGTGTTGTTGCCTTCACAGAGAACGTAACAGCCGTCAATCTGAACGCAGCTCTGACCGTTAGGGTACTGGTGCGCAGGGTTACAAGAGTAGCGGCCCTTGCTATCACGCTCACCCGGAGCGGCGCAGGCGCCGGTAGGCGCCGGTCCGTCGCAGGTGGTTGAGCTGCCGGTCTGGCCCTTCACAATTGCGTTTCCATTGGCGTCGACAAGCAGGGGGCAGCCGTCAACAGTCTTGCAGCTCTGACCGTTGGGGTACTGGTGCGCCGGGTTGCACGAGTAGCGGCCCTGAGCGTCATAATCGCCGGGGGCGGCGCATGCGCCAGTAGGCGCTGGTGCGCTGGAGGTGGTCTGGCTCTTGACGATGGGCCGGCCGGTGGCGTCAGCCAGGAGCGGGCATCCATTAATGTCCTTGCACTGCTGGCCGTTGGGGTACTGGTGCGCCGGGTTGCAAGAGTAACGGCCCTGGGCGTCGTAGTCACCGGGAGCAGCGCAGTCAGCGGCCGCGACGGCGGCGATGGAGGTAGCTAGAGTGAAAAGCGTGCTGGTTCTCATTGTGTTCTAAATGTAGAAGCAATCGCTATTGATACAGAGAGAACTGGTTAGGGTAAAGTGAGGAGAAGTGACTGGGAGAGTAAGAGCAGAAGTGATTAGGACGAGGTATAGGTAGATGGTTAATCAATCTGGCACAGAAGTCGGAGTCATGAGATTTATATACATCTGGGGGGCATGTGATAGCTAAGAAAATTAAGCCCTTCGCCTGAGCCCTCGATTCAAGGGCGCCATCATGGGTCAACGTTAACGATACCATGGTATGTTTTTCCTTGGCTCCGCGGCTAGACCCCCAGGCTATTTACGGACCTCCCATGAGACCTTGCTTGCACCTGAATATTGGAATATGCGGGACTATTAAGGGAATCTGGGCTGTTAAGACAGGGGAGCTGTGCCTGCCCCCTCGACAATTGCCACCGGCGATGCTATGACTTTGGAGGCTGATCAACCAGTCCAAACCTTCTTTCGCCTGTAATTTATTATCCCGCTCGTATTCATTAAAATCAAGCGGGTCTTATAGGTCCAACCTCGTATTCCGACATAAGTAGTAGCCCTCCGATTCAGCCTTGAGCCTTACATACACCGAACTTGGAGCCCTACGATCAATCTTGTGCTCTATAGACATTAGATGCGTATAGCTCTAGGAGCCCCGCGTTTTCGAAGCATTTAACGGCTTTTTTCCTCGCGCGATGAAATTGAGTCTCCGGTTGCTCCGTTCTCGATGCATACCGAGCCTCCGTCCCTTTGTGCGCTCGGTAGTGCCCGACCGCATGCGTATGACGTAGATGGCCTGAGCCCGGCCCCTCGGGGAAGTCACTGCCGAGCCGTAAACAAGGCACTAACGCTATTAGTGCAGCTAAGCATGCGGGCCCAGGAGCTGAAATGCCATCGGCCAAGGTTAATAGCCGATAGGGCGAACTATGGAGACGAGCAAGGGGCTCCCCTGACAACCTGGCAACCTCTGAAGGTTTGTGTAAATACGAGATGCCCATCCACTGCATACTTCCAGCCCTCCTCTTTCCCGGTACATCTTCTACGTTCAGTACCCCCCCGACTCCGTATTGGACTATCACTCCGGACGGAAACTCTGGACTCATCCTATGTGCTGACGGTTGACAGTATCCTGTAGCGAGGTTCGCTGCGTGGCATTCAGCTGCGGACGAAACATCTCGTCGACCGACCGCCTCCTTTTTTAAAATTCCATCTTCGTCGTGCCCCGCAGAGATGGACAGCAGCGCTCGTAATAAGCGTGCATGGTCACGCCCTGTCATCCATAATCCCGTGCCCACACTCTCAACTCGCGGTTCTAGAGGTACCGGCAGCGGGCACATTTGTAGAGAACCCGTCCTGTGGTCGCGCAGCGTACAGCCTACTTTCTTAACGTTGCGCTTGGAGGTTGATTGGAAAGTGGTGCTTGCCATGTCCAGCGGCCGTAGTATGTTTTCTTCGAGGTATATGCCGATCGTCTGGCCCGTCACTGGCTCGACCACCTGCGCCGCCGACTCGATCGACGTGCATACCGCTAGCCTTGACCTGGGGCCAACTTCAAAGGGATTCTCCAGCCTGACAGTGTGTGATTTATTTGTGTCCTTTCTGCCTATCCACTTCGACCAATTCATCGAATCCGGGTCAGCGAGATCGTACGCTAGCCCGGCTGTGTGCGTGAGAAGGTGGCGTAGAGTGATTTCGGTATTGCTGTCTTCCAAAATAGGTTCGCCACTTACGGGGTTAAAGCCGCCGAGGATCTGGAGACTGGTAAGCTCAGGAAAATGGGTCGAACGTCGGAGTCCAGAGAGACAAGGCCTCGTTCCACAGGAGCGAGGATTGCAGGGACAGTGATGATCTTGCTAGACGAGGCGAACCAGGTGAAGGAGGAAGCTGTGAAGGGGAGACTGTTGGATGATATGGATGTAACGCCGGCAGAGCCTTTATGGAGAGTTTCTAGGCGAAAGAGAAAGAGGGAGAGGGAGAGATAGAGGCGGAGAGATTCGTTAGTCCTGCTGATGGGTTTAGGCCGGATGCATGTCTGGAATTTACTCGTGCTGTTAACAACGATGAATGCTGCCCGGAGAAGCCTGTCCCGTGTGTCATCCTTTTGAGCAACATATCTTGCGAGCATCTTGTCCAGAGTCCCCGTTATCACTGGGCCTGTGCAGTTTTAAAAGCGCTGCAGGCGATGGGAAATCCTGGTAAGTTGCTTTGGGAAAGCAGATTAGTGCAGCTTCTCGCAAAAGGGGGTTGATGAGAAACCCGCGTGGTGGACTTTCCTGCCTCACTGTCTCCTCACAGTATACCTCTTGGGGTCACCTTCAGCGGGCGGGGATTATGGGAGCGTGTTCTCTTAGAATCCCCTTGTCCCTGTGTAGATGATGTCGTATACCCGAGCGACGTGGTCATGTGCGATAGCGAAGAGGACGCACACAGTTGGCGCTTCGGTTCGAGCGTGTGATCCTGGGCACGAAAACAGCGACACCATTTGGAAGACTAGCCTATTGACGCACATATTGGTCGCACCATATTATACAGACATTGTCTTTGGTTGGGTATACTACAACCCGTACGCAGGGTCGCGAGGCGAAGCGTACCGTAGAGCTCTAGCATCGAACGCATCATCCTCGTCAGGCTCATCAGCCTCCCAACTGGTGCCTTATCGCCGTGCCTTGTTGCAGGCAAATCCCGTGCCTCTTGTCTCTCCTCGTCATCAAGCACTGACCAAGCCTTTCCTTAGGCAGCATCAAAGTCCTCGCAAGGCCCGTAGTGACGCGGGAAACTGCCATTCCAAATCATGAGATCGAAAGCATAATCCGTTTGCAGGGCATACATGACCCAAAAGTCCCCATTTTCCCAGCCCTCAGGCATCTTTTTCGACAGCCGCTATGTTTCAGTCACATATCCAGCAGCGATGGCTGCGTCCTCGGCGGCTGTCATGGCTTCCAGAAATGTTGTCAAGACCCTTTTGTACTCCCTTTCCCAGCCACTCCAGCCCGCTCTCCAGTCCTGAAGCCGTTGTAAAAGCAACCACCATGGTGGTGCGCAGGAGAAGTCGGCAGGTGCAGCATACGTGAATGACCAGTTGACCACACTGGAAATGTTGTCCCCGCTGAGCAATATACTCGTTGGCTGGAAGTTGTCGCACCAGAGCTTGAACGGGCCTTTGTCAAATTCCGAGCTCTCTCGCCCGCTCATAAGTTTGCGGAATAGGAGCCTAGCAACATACTTTTGAATGCAATCAAGCTCATCGCTGAAAGCATCGTTCTGCCGGGGGCCAAGTGATCGATGTGGAGCTGTGCAATTGTAACAAAGTATTCCCGCGTGGATGTAAAGACCGGTTGCGGCAGGTCGCCTCGTCTACATCCTCCCATGGCCACCAATTCGTTGATCAGCCGGGTCAGAGGTCGACGTGTGACCCTCGACGAACCATCCTCGATCAGCTTAGGTGAGCCTATAAACTCCAGCCTCCAAAGATCAAGGAGAGCATTGGCTGCTAGGCGATATAGGTTGTTGAGCTTTATGGGGTCTATCCTTGAGTCGAGGACTTGCAACTCTTCATCACGGAGTTCGGGTGTCTTGAGCCTTGCCCATATCCCTGTCATGTGGAAGATACTCCATCACAATACTCCGTACAGGGGCGTAAGTCAGCGGTGTCGAAGTCCTCGGTACCTTTCTCGTTCGTATCTCCCATCAATTTCGCGCTTTGTATGCAGGCCACCTGGGTTGTTGTCGTTTCGGCAACTAGCCGCATCACATTGACCTCATTTGTAGTCTTCTCATCCGGAAACATGGACTTAGGGTTTACTGGGCGTAATACAGCGTCTCAGCTGGAGTCGAACTCCATAATACGAGCGAGGTTGTATGATGCGGCCTCGGGGTCGGGCAAGTGCTTAGGAACGCCGCCCCAGATCTTGGCGATAAGGTTGCCAATTTTTTGCCTCGTTCGCCGTGCGAGCATCTTGTCAAGCCACTCTCGCTGGTTCTTACTGAACGTGGAGCATGCCAGGTGGTCAACGTCCATTAGTAGTATGGCAAAAGCGCCAGTATGGTTCCGGGCCCCCATAACAGCTTGCGTCTCACGCTTCGTGGCTTCTTCTGTGTTATTTTCTTGAATGGATGGTTGGTTTACGAGATGCAAAATGATGGCGACACCAGGCACTTTATGTGTGGCCACGATCCTCAGCCAACCCCTGTCAGGGCTCTGTGTTACCAATGAAAGCACGGTGACGCAGGGCAGCTCCCCGCTGCCCGAGGAAGGTAGGATTGCCGCGCCCCTCTGTTCTGGTTTCTTTTTCTTTCTTAAAGGAAAGGGTAAACTACGTTAATGACTTGTGAAGCTGTCAGTTCGATGAAGTCATTCCTACCTTCACGACTGACCAGACGAGCACGCGCTCCATTCTGGCGCTGATCCGTCTCGGCCCTTTTTGGTAGCTGTAGTCTCTACCAAAGACGGGTTAGTGGGGTCTTTGAGTACATCGTGAACACAAGATAGAGGCATTAAATTAGATAAACGAGGAAGAATTGGCTTAAGCGTGATATAGGAGTTGGCGAGATGTTGGTAGAGGATTTACAGCGGCGTGGGGCGGGGAGTATAGTCATCTTCATAAAGTTATATATAACGTTAGCCACCCACTTAGAAACACCCTTATAAAGTTATAAAGCTATAAAAAAATGCCTTATTATAACTATAAATAAAATATATTAATTATTAAATAATTATACTTTAATAGTCTTACTATTAGACTTCTTAATATTTAATAAATTAATTATTATAGAGTTCTATATACTATTTAATTACTTATTAAACTAATAATAAGTACTTTTAACCTTAAGGATTATAATAAATGTTTTATTTAGATTTAATACTACTTTTACTTTCTTTTTTATATAAGAATTAATAAACTACTTTTAAAAAGAGTTTATTTAAGTCTACTTTATAATAATTATACTATTCTATATATTAATTCCTTTCTAAATTTTAAATAATATAAAATTACTTATTAGTAAAGGCT